TATTTATTTAATGTTGAAAACCATTTATAATCTTTCTTCCACTTCACAATTATGTGCCACTTTGTGCTGGTCTATCACATAAAACCCCAATAAAAGAATTTATGTTTTTGGTTGTAACATGACAAAATGTGGAAAATTTTAATAAAATATAGAGAGAGAAATATAGATCTCTTCCTCTGTGTATATATATGTATATATATATATATATATATATATATATATATATCATACACACACATATATATATACACAATCGACAAATCCCGGGTGCCAGGTCGCCGTGATAGTAAATACAGCCTGGCACAACATTGTCGGGCAGCCTGTAGCTGCCACTGCTGTGTGAGGCTGGGGGGTAGAGAGGAGAGCGGTGAGAAGCAGCGCGAATGTGAAGGGTGGGTTAGGGGAGATGCAGGGCTGTCAAGTAGTATGAGGGGCAGCTCAGAAGAGGAGCAGAACTGGCAGGAAGTGTCCCCTGTGCAGCTCTCCGGGACACCTGCCGCTCCAGGGAGACACTCAACCTTTACCTCGGAGCAGGAACTGGCAGCGTGACAGCCAGTGTGGCCACCTAAGTCATAAAATATGCAGCGCTCATAAATTAGGTATCAAGATCCACAGAAACCTATTAACATATAATGTTCTAAATATACCATTAAATATGAAGTATATATAAAACTGGTGACTTCTGTGGTACATTCCTGGTTAAGGAACCGGAACAAAGTTCGTGACTCTTGTGTTGAACAAGCTGAAAGAAGTTTGCACTAACCAGATATCTCAGCAAATGGAGCATGGAGTAATTAAGACCTACTCCTGGTACTCTGAAAGAAAGCCACTGGAGAGGATGATGTCATCTGATCACTCGCCACTAGATGTCATGTTCCCAGAACAGCAGGACGATGATTCCAAAAATGCACATCAGCCAGTAAGGAGATGAATCCAGCAAGCCAGCCAGCATCACACAGGAGACCAAGAGAAACCAGGCACCTTCAAAAAGCCCAGGCTCCCTCCAATAAAGAGAGCCACAGGCCAGAAGCTTTGATAGTGTAGTATTGCATTTAATAAGTGGTAATTCAAATGACAAGAGAAACAACACTTACAAAATTGGTCACAGGAACAAGGGGCAGCTAAAGGATATGTCCAGACAGTGGGGGGGCACCTCCCTGACGCGTTTCGTGTCAACACACGTTTTCAAAGGGGGTGCATTGCAGGGAAATTGATCGTTTTTATATTCCGCGGTGCGCATGCGCAGTACGCACCGGTGACGTCATTGCGGTAAAGCCGCGCATGCGCGCAGTACGTACATACGTCGGCCATTTTCTCGGAGAACAGTGCGGGATGGACAACAGAAGGTGAAACCCATACTGAAGGATGCAGATGGAGACAGTCTGATCTGTGGAGCCATTACTATTCAGTGGTGCAAACGAGGAATGTTAACCTAATGTGCAAAGTATATATCGTTATCAAACATGGGGAAAACAGCCATATAAACAGCCTCTGCGGACATGGCTCACAAAAGGACTATATAGGGACATAGGATAATATGTGTATATATAATTATGATGGGAACTGTTCGGACAGGTATTCAACCTGGTACATGAGTGTATAGGCATAACGCAGGAACATAGGGTGGATAATTGACAAAAATAATAAGCCCGTCATATATGCAGCATGACCTTGCATATTGAACGTTCTAATACTGCGCCATATGTACCTAGCAGTTACAAGCAATGACAAACTGTGGATTCATAACACTAAAATATAACAAATAAACGTCTAAAGTTACAATAAACGCATGTGACCACAGTAAATACATAAAGTAAAAAGCATATGTTTAAATAACAATGAACAATAATTAATTAATACTATTCACATTAATAGGAATGTGAATAGATTAAAATCCACATGATATAAACGCATCCAAAGGCCGTAGGCACCCCAGATGTAACATATGCGAATTACAGTTGTAAAAATGTTACAATAATAGATGTATATAATATAATGATAAAAGCAATAAAAAGCAATAAAGCAATATAAGAACCATGGAAAACATGATAAGAACATTTGTAGAGGACATTATAAAAACATTATATGTTTGTAATGGTGTCCACAAATCGCCCATTTTTACCTTCTGTTCTCGCGCTACTGGCAAACAATACACGATAGACTCCACTATCACATGTAACAGTCTCCATGTTGTTTATCTGCTCGAATGTTCTTGCGGTAAACAGTACGTAGGCAGAACTACCAGGAGACTAAGGGATCGGCTACGTGAACATCTCAAAAATATAAAGAAGGGTTTCAAAGAACACTCTTTATCTATGCACTTTCGAGAACAACATAATCAGAATCCTCATTCTCTAAAGTTTATTGGCATTGACATGGTCCATAAACATTGGAGAGGAGTCCATAAACGTAGAGCAGTCTCTAGGTTAGAGACAAAATGGATCTATTTATTACGTACATCATCACCTTTAGGCCTCAACATTGAGTTGGATATAAATTGTTTTATTGACACTAGCTAATCTGCATTTATCATCACTTCTATTTTAAGCTAAATTTTTTATGACATGCGTTGCCGTCAGTTCGTTTTTTCCTTGTGAGGTTTGGCTGTTTCTTATAATATAATGTTTTTTATAATGTTTTTATAATGTCCTCTACAAATGTTCTTATCATGTTTTCCATGGTTCTTATATTGCTTTATTGCTTTTTATTGCTTTTATCATTATATTATATACATCTATTATTGTAACATTTTTACAACTGTAATTCGCATATGTTACATCTGGGGTGCCTACGGCCTTTGGATGCGTTTATATCATGTGGATTTTAATCTATTCACATTCCTATTAATGTGAATAGTATTAATTAATTATTGTTCATTGTTATTTAAACATATGCTTTTTACTTTATGTATTTACTGTGGTCACATGCGTTTATTGTAACTTTAGACGTTTATTTGTTATATTTTAGTGTTATGAATCCACAGTTTGTCATTGCTTGTAACTGCTAGGTACATATGGCGCAGTATTAGAACGTTCAATATGCAAGGTCATGCTGCATATATGACGGGCTTATTATTTTTGTCAATTATCCACCCTATGTTCCTGCGTTATGCCTATACACTCATGTACCAGGTTGAATACCTGTCCGAACAGTTCCCATCATAATTATATATACACATATTATCCTATGTCCCTATATAGTCCTTTTGTGAGCCATGTCCGCAGAGGCTGTTTATATGGCTGTTTTCCCCATGTTTGATAACGATATATACTTTGCACATTAGGTTAACATTCCTCGTTTGCACCACTGAATAGTAATGGCTCCACAGATCAGACTGTCTCCATCTGCATCCTTCAGTATGGGTTTCACCTTCTGTTGTCCATCCGCACTGTTCTCCGAGAAAATGGCCGCCGTATGTACGTACTGCGCATGCGCGGCTTTACCGCAATGACGTCACCGGTGCGTACTGCGCATGCGCACCGCGGAATATAAAAACGATCAATTTCCCTGCAATGCACCCCCTTTGAAAACGTGTGTTGACACGAAACGCGTCAGGGAGGTGCCCCCCCACTGTCTGGACATATCCTTTAGCTGCCCCTTGTTCCTGTGACCAATTTTGTAAGTGTTGTTTCTCTTGTCATTTGAATTACCACTTATTAAATGCAATACTACACTATCAAAGCTTCTGGCCTGTGGCTCTCTTTATTGGAGGGAGCCTGGGCTTTTTGAAGGTGCCTGGTTTCTCTTGGTCTCCTGTGTGATGCTGGCTGGCTTGCTGGATTCATCTCCTTACTGGCTGATGTGCATTTTTGGAATCATCGTCCTGCTGTTCTGGGAACATGACATCTAGTGGCGAGTGATCAGATGACATCATCCTCTCCAGTGGCTTTCTTTCAGAGTACCAGGAGTAGGTCTTAATTACTCCATGCTCCATTTGCTGAGATATCTGGTTAGTGCAAACTTCTTTCAGCTTGTTCAACACAAGAGTCACGAACTTTGTTCCGGTTCCTTAACCAGGAATGTACCACAGAAGTCACCAGTTTTATATACTTCATATTTAATGGTATATTTAGAACATTATATGTTAATAGGTTTCTGTGGATCTTGATACCTAATTTATGAGCGCTGCATATTTTATGACTTATTATTCGAAGTTTCTTGAGGTTTACTTTCTATGCTAGCAGCTTAACTAATCATCTTTATAATCCATATACCCATTCATCTGTACTATTATTAGACACCTAGTGTGGCCACCAATCAGTGCCCCATTTGTGCAGCCTGATTAGTGTCCTCATCAGTGCCCCATCAGTGCAGCCTCAATCAGTGCCCCATCAGTGCAGCCTCATCAGTGGCTCCATCAGTGCCGCCTCATCAGTGGCTCCATCAGTGCCCCATCAGTGCAGCCTCAGTCAGTGCCCCATCATTGCAGCCTCAGTCAGTGCCCCATCAGTGCAGCCTCAGTCAGTGCCCCATCAGTGCAGCCTCAGTCAGTGCCCCATCAGTGCAGCCTCAGTCAGTGCCCCATCAGTGCAATCTCCCTCCCTTGTCTATTGCATCAGTTTTGATAAATGAGCTTTTCTCTATATACAGTGCCTTGAAAAAGTATTCATACCCCTTGTAATTTTCCATATTCCAAACCTATGAGGGCTTCACAGAACAGTTGTATGTATACTGAGATTAAATTACACACAGGTGGACTCTATTTACCAATTAGGTGACTTCTGAAGGCAATTTGTTCCACTAGATATTAGTTAGGGGTATCAGAGTAAAGGGGGATGAATACAAATGCACGCCACATTTTTCAGATATTTGTAAAAAATGTTGAAAACCATTTATAATTTTCCTTCCACTTCACAGTTATGTGCCACTTTGCGTTGGTCTATCACATAGATGCCAATAAAATACATTAACTTTTTGTTTGTAACATGACAAAATGTGGAAAATTTCAAGGGGTATGAATACTTTTTCAAGGCACTGTACCCTCCTATGTGAATATGACCTTAAATGACTTTTTCAAGATATTCACTTACATGTTTTGGGTCAGCTGTCGATGCTGGAGGCTCCAATTGTATGGTGACTGGGCCGTCATTCTGTATATTCACTTGCATGTATGCTCCAAACTTGCCATCTGGAAGAGAGCACAGCAAATTTTACTGCAGAAAAATTACAATTACAAAGCAGATAACCAAAATTCAGTAATGCTTTTATTTTCTGGGCACATTTAAACCCAAAACCAGAAATGTAATATATTTCACCCTACCAACAGTTCTTAGCTGCAGTAGCTGCATTAGTTTCCTTTTACAGGGATCTTTTCCTTTATTTTCTGTACTGGCAGAAAACGCATTTAGTACAACAAAAAAAAAAAAAAAAATGAATGCAGCCACCACATCTAAGAAATGGTAAGATGTTGTATATCTAATTAATGTTTTTGAGTTTAGATATGCATTAGCCAGTTCTTACCATTACAATGGGATTGTGCAGGCCTATCTGAACATTCCATTCTGTTATATCTAACCAGACAAGCCTTTGTGCTGCATAGTTGTTGGTAAATTAGTATTCATAGAGCATTGTGGGCAGCTTAGTGGATAGTACTTCTGCCTGGCAGCACTGGGATCCTTGCCAGGACACTACCTGCAGGGAGTCTGCATTTTCTCCCTGTGCTGCGTGGGTTTCCTGCAGGTACTCCGGTTTCCTCCCACACTAGACATGCTGGTAGATTAATTGGCTCCTGTCTAAATTGGTCTTAGTATGTGTATGTATGAATGCGAGTTAGGGATCTTAGATTATAAACTCCTTGAAGGCAGGGACTGATGTGAATGTACAATATTTAAAGCACTGCATAAATTGTCGGTGCTATCTAGATACCTGAAATAAAGGAGATTGCACAATTACATTGTAAAACAGAGTCACCTTTAGAAAATAATTTTCTTTCTTGTGTCTATGTAAAAAGAAATGGACAAAATAACCAAGAATAACAAATAACAAATGTCCATATCACTCACTTGTGAATTTTTTGTTTTTATGTTCCAAAGTTTTCTTTTTTGTTTTAATCAAATCCCTCCTTACTAATCAAATCCCTACATCCATTCATTATAAAACCAACTCATCAGCAATCATGTTGAATTGGCTGCCTGAATAGAAACTGTGCTAACAAAAATTAAACTTGAGTGCGTGGGGATCAGAAATACAGTAATCCTGTGAAAATTGCAATCAGCAAGTTACATGATAAATCCAAAAGACAAGATGTTCCCTCAGCAAATAATGCAGGGTTGTGGCTGCTCTAACTTCCACCTAAATGATTGCTGAAGCTAGAAATAAGTGAAACAAGTGCAGCTGCCACTGCCAGAAATTATGCCACACATTGTTAACAACTCAATAAAAAGTTCTTGTACAAGATCGGTCAAGATTTCATGAGTATAGTCTTTTCAATGTTTTGCTTAATATATACAGTACTGTATGTAAAAGATCAATAAATGTATATTGTAAGCTCCAAGGAGCAGGGCCCTCCTATCCCTCTTGTATTGAACTGTATTGTCTCCCGTTATATTGTAAAGCGCTGAGCAAACTGTTGGCGCTATATAAATCCTCTATAACAATAATAATAATGTAAATCTTATCAATCTACATAGCTCCCAAATATCACTCCTTTGGAACTGTAAAAAAAATAAACTATTAAACGTTGTTTACATTGCACTAAACCCTTTACCCATCCTTCAGATTACTGCACTTGCTGGTTTTAACATTTGTCACAATGGCTAGGAATGGTGAAAAAGAGCCCCAGGTGGTTTAAAGAACAATTGTACTTTCATACAAATAACCTTTCAAGTAGAAATATGTCTACCTATAAAAGAAAATATTTTCTGAGCACCTAATGTAGCTTCCTGTAATGGTGTTGCTACAATGCTGCACTGATCCGAAATCCAGAGCAGAGTTTCCACTTTCAGGTAGGCTGTGCTTGCTTGGACTAGAGTGGGATGAAAAAAAAATGTTGCATTCTGGATTGACAGAACCGCCTCTAATTGAAACCCTCCCACTGTGAGCTGCAGTGTCTGGAAAGGGGGAACGCGAGACACCAATGAAGTAGGATTTGACTCAGAACAGGTAAACAAAGTAAACAGAACTTTGTAAGGCTTGTGCATGATATGGTAACTGCACTTGACACTTGGTTAGATCCTTTAGGTGTACTTTGAGAGGACGTCTATCATTCTATCTTTGAAAACCTTTACTTAAGAATGGGACTGGTCCTTCAAAGGACAGACCAGGATTGGTCAGGGGAGTTTCCTGCAGCAGCAATTCAGTTTCCATGTGGGCCAAGTTCGTGGACAGGTGGATATACACTCAGACAGTAAAAGAACTTAGTGGGTGTTGTACATTCATTTAAAAGTATAATTGTACCAAAAGATATAACAGAGTAAATCTGTACTTTAGGTGTTCTTATGAGTTTTAATGCATCAGAATCTGCGTGAACAGAAATCTGTGTTTTGTTTAAATAATTGGGATAATATGTAATATCTTCCTTTTCCCTTCTCCAAAGATTGGGAGGTATGAATCTATGTTAATATTTTATACTGTAAATATCAGAGTGCCTGCTATTACCGTTATTAGCCAGAAAAGCCACCTCTGTGCAGCCAGCCCCCTGTGATAAAAATAAATTTCAACTAAATGTGAAGGTTGCGCAAGCCAGTAGTAATGCCCCCCTAGTATTCTGGGAAACTAATTTGCTAGCTGAGATTAAATTACAAAAAAAATATATTTAAACCCATTTACTAACATAAGCTTTAAAGCTCAGTGTTAGAATTTACAAAAGTTGCCCACCAGCTTTAAAACAGAAAAATACAGTTTTCGATTCAATACTCACCTTCTCTTTAGTATTGTCCCCTACAGACACACTACTCCATCCATCAGTGCTGGTCCTTCTAGGCTGATGCCCAGTATCATTCAACTCACTTTCAATGACCCAGGTTACCATGGACCTCCTCCCCTGAGGGTGCATCATCACATTGGCCTGGGCTTACATAACAATGCTGCAGAGAACAATAATAACATCTAGAGAGCTGGATAAAAACCATGGTTACTTGCCGGTAATTGCCTTTCTGGAAGTCTTCCAGCATGGCTACATGAGAGACACCAGCTTCACCCTCTACAGGAAACAAAGTTTAAAAGCCCATCGCTCCCCCTTGTCCTCAATAATTAGGAAAAGTAGATCATCACAGGTGTACATGAGGAGAGAACCCTTCACCTACATCAATCCACCATCATCACACTCTGAGGAATATACATTGGGTGGGAAAAAAAGGATGCTGTCCTGAAAAGAACATTACTGTTAAGTAACCATGGTTTTTCCAAAGCGTCTTCCAGGATGGCTACATGAGAGGATAAACAAGAAATACTCCTACCTTAGGGAGGGACCACTGCCTGTAGAACTTTCCTTCCAATCACCAGCCCCTGGCTAGAAAGAAGCTCCACACTGTAGTGTTTAACAAAGGCATGGTTATTCAACCAAACTGCCACACTGGAGATATCTTCCCACAAAGCACCTGCCCTCTCCACCCAAGAGGCTGCCAAGGCTCTAGTGGAATGTGCCCATACGCTAGAAGGTGGCTGGTGACCCAAGCTCTTGTATGCACAGAAAATTATCATGAATGCACCTGGCAATAGAACTCTTTGAAGCACAAAGACACTTCCTGGGCACACTGAAAAGAACCAGAAGATGACTAGATCTGCTGAAATCTCTGGTAACCCTCAAGTATTCTAACAAACATCTCCTAACATTTAGAAAACTGTACAGTGTTTCCTTCTCATTCTTGGGGGAACTACAGATGGAAAGTAAAGTAACCAACTGATTGAAAAAACCCAACTCCTTTTCGGCCAATAAGGAGCTATGAGGATTACTTGACAGTCTTCCATCACAATCTTCTGAGCAATTTGCGAAAGGATTGACAGAGGCAGAAAGGTGTAAGCCAGACCGAAGTACCAAACCGGAGTTAATGCATCTGCCCCTAGAGCCCCAGACTCCTTCTCTACAGTAAAGATGTTCCAAACCTTCCTGTTCCTGCCTGAGGAGAACAAATAAACCTCTGGAAGACCCCATGGATCTGTAATCTGTACAAAGAGCTCTGCATTCAATTCCCATTCCTCTTGCCTTACTGGATTCCAGCTGAGGTAATCAGCTAGGACATTGTCAGATCCCCTGAGATGGACCGCTCTCAGAATTCAGACAATCTTCTGCCCACAGCAGAATCTCCAAGGCAAAGGAAAGCAATTTCTGAGACCTTGTGCCTCGTCTGTTAAATGTCAAATAAGCCACTGTGGTGGAATTGTCTGAAAAGGTGAACACATCCTGACTGTGAATGGTGTCTGAGAAGGACCTTAGAGCCATCCCCAACACTAACAGCTCTCTGAAATTGCAGGAAAAATCTGCCATGTCCAGCCACCAAATTCCCTGGGCTTGGCAAGAACCCAAATGAGCCCCCCAGCCCCAGGAGCTGGCATCCGCGGAAATCTTTCCTGGGCCCATTTGTGTCCAGGGCCGGCCCTTTGTCATATTTCACTGGTCTCTCCACCAATCTAGACCCAGAGAATCGTCCTGCAGAAGATTCACTACTGTGTCTAAGGAACTGTAACTGATCCCATGAGGCTAGCAAAAATGCCTGAAGCTTTCTTGAGTGCAGCTGGGCCCAGGAGACTCCAGGAATGGCCGCCGTCATTAGCCCGAGAACATGAATGATCTTTCTCAAGGATGCCTGCTGCATTCAGAGGTTCTGGACTGATGACATTAATCTGTTTACCTTTGATTCTGTGAGAAACTATTTTGGAGAAAGAGAATCTATCCAGTACCCTAAAAATTCTATCGTCTGGGAAGGATCCAGGCTGGATTTGTTTAGGTTTACTAACCAACCCAAGGAACCTAATTTCAAGAGAACCATCTCCAAATCTGTCTCCAGTTTTAATTTGTAGGTGAAAAAAATTAATAGATCGTCCAGATAGGGGATAATGGCTATGCTTTGCATACGCAGGATAGCCATGACTTTAGCCAAAACTTTTGTGAACACTCTTGGAGCTACCGCAAGAACGAAGGGAAGATCCTGGAATTGCCCGTGCTATAACCACCTTTTTTGAATGGATTTC